TAGACGGCATTCGAATGAAAAGCCTACATACAAAATTTCGTCAAATCATCTTTTATTTGAATTAAAATATACGGAAACAACAGAAATTTCACCTTGACATACCTACTGGACCTTCATGCACTGGAGCCACTTCAAACTTTGTACACAATTTCAAATCATGTTTTGTTTTGATGCCGCGAAATAATAACCAACACTTTACGAGATAATAGTTTCGAACTAGGGAAAAATCGTGCTGACTTCATCACTTCATTTTGGCCATTCCATATCATTTGTGGTATAACGTGCCACTCCAATGAACGAGCATATGCATCAGATTCTTGCATCCAATAATCCGTTTATCGAACTACTGCTCTTCTCTCNTCTCCACAGATCATGCCAGTATTAGCTTTCCTTGCTCAACCCCATCCAACTCAAATTTCTCTTAGTCGCTAAAGTAGATGATGGCATAAGTTTTTAAAATTTACATGCGTTTTAGTTCATCATAAACGATTTTCTGTTTGTAAAAGAATCATTTGAAGTGTTCGTTGCATCGCCCGCACCAACCTGTTCAACTCAAGCACCGATTGCATATCCGATACATGAATCACTGAGTTTGAAGCCATACATAACGGTCTGCACTTATCTTTCTTCGAAAGCCTGTTCTGGTATCCAATCCGTTTAGGCGTAGAGTTTTAGGCATTCGCTAGAACAAGTGATCGACCTGCATAGATTACGTTGGTTGGGACATGTGTTACGCACGTCACTAGATAGGTTGCCACGGCGAGCGATGTTCGACAAAGCTGGTAGCGGATGGAAAAAGATCAAGGGTGGTCAAACTGAGACCTGGCATGAGGGTATGAAAACCCTAAGCAGGAATCTGGGTCACATAGGCCCCGTTAGGCTCCCTGGACGGAGACTTCGGGATCGTCGCAACCGATGGTTAGAGACACTGAGTGATATGACTGGGTGTTACAAACAGTGGCGCTCGTGCATCTACTCATTATTCCCCTTTCACTACTCTGTATGAATTCTCCATCTTCCGCTTGAATTTGCCTTCAACATTCCAATCTTCATGGTGCTCTTTTATCCAAATGGGGCACCAACATACAGTAACCAAAACCAGCGCCCGAAAGTGCATGGTTAATGGTTGTAAAAACTGCAAATGAACTGAACTAGCTGTTTTCGCCTTGTGTCATAGTGGATTGGACGATGTCTTTTGGTAGCTTACCAAGATGTCTGTGTACCTTCAAGGTCATCGACAGTGATATAAACATATGGCCACCGTTACCTGGGTTAGTCACACTAACATAAGTCACATCACTGTGTCGACCACTGACTGAACGCCGTTGCCAGTCGCCATACTGAAGTGCATGCAAATTCAGATTGTTCATCGCACCCGTTTATACAGGGAGTTGGGTGTGTGAATTCCATGGGTTTGTGTGATGTACGAAAGTTTTTTGCCGATGTTAATTCTGCTTTCTTTTTGACATGTTTTCGTTAAAATAATTCCATGAAATTTTTTGTTTCAGCTTTTCTTTCGGTTGCCGTTTAGACTCGCAAAAATCTTGCTGATCATGGTTGTGAATGCGAAGATAATCGAAATATGGCTGCAGGGGTTGGTTGCAATACTTTGGTCGTAGGGTTTTATATGATACAAGATGATATACTTACCGGTTTATCACGAGTAACGAAAGATTAACACAAATTGACCTCCTTTCCCTACCACAAACACACAAATGATTCGAGAGTATCTGTGGACGGGCTTGTGAGTTGTAATGATCATCCATTGTCATTTGAGACGTAGTTTCGTCATATTGAATCATACGGTACATAAAGAACGATACTGAGGCGTTAGATAGAGCTTTTGT